TTTTTTTTTTTTTTTTTTTCAAGGAAAAAACAGGGCTGCCAAAAAGCGAAATAAGCAAAACAAAGCAGCGTTGATGTCAAAAAATGAAAAGTGAAATCAGGATTGATGTGGGATTTCTAGGCTCAGGGTTATGAGCAACTATCCGTCCTAACTGAATTTGGTTTTTTTTCCAAAAACTTTGGTTGACAGCGTTTCTGTTAAATGAATCACTCGTAAATTCTTTTGGGTTTTAAAGAATCAGTGGCACCAAAAAGAAATGGAAATTTGATAAAATTTACAAATTTTGAAAAATTAATTAAAAAAAAAGGAAAAAAAGTAAAATTGAAAAAAAAAATGTTTGCGGAATGGTAGATAAGGAAACCACTGACGACTGGTAAATTCTGAAATTCTTTCTCCAGTAGACACTTTTTTGAAAAACTTTACTGAAACATAAATTTCTTTGCTGATTCAGTTCGCTGTTTTGAACAGGTAATATATCCGGATACGGTAGATGATATGCAAAGAAAAGGTTACAGCGATGAAACACTTTGGCAAATTTTGACGACGGTACATTTGACGCATATCGTAGATCGCGAAGGAGGTTCGTTTCAGCGTGCAAATCTCCAAGTTTGAACTGATAACAGAAGTCAAGAATTCATATTAAAATCCATAGATGAAGCGAGAAATTTAAAAAATTTAGATCGGAAAAACAGTCCCTCAGTTTCGCTTTCAATATTTAAGGCTGGGAGAGCAAACGAGAATGGATGCACGTGCTGTCTGGTGGCGAAAAGCAACGATTAGGGCTGGCAAGAATTTTCTATCATCGACCGCAGTACGCACTTCTGGATGAATGCACCAGCGCCATATCAACGGATATTGAAGCACTTATTTATCAGGCAATGAAAGACGCCGGCTTCACGCTCCTCACCGTATCTCATCGTCCCAGTCTGTGGTTCGTCCATCAGAAAAACTTCGGTTTTTTTTCAACGCCATTTAATCAACGCAATTTTCTGTGTTCATTTAGTCAAGTGATTTTAGGAAATTTCACACCCATCTGCTACATTACGATGGTCAAGGAAGTTACCGAATGCACCCAATCAATGACAGCAGCGACCAATTCACATATGGTGATCCGGAAGGGACAAAAATAATGATGGACTCGGAAAGCATCCTTAAAGGATGTGAGGTAAATCGTCTATTTTTCAAAACATTTTTTTAGCTTGTTGATATAGCTTGGCTGAAAACTTCGCTAGAAAATTCACTGTCCTAGAGCAAATCCGATTCAACGCACACGTAATCCCATATTAACAGAGAAAAAAATTTGAACGATTTTAGCATCAGCTTAATGAGGGGATGGAAGAATTCATCGCAAGCTCCTCATCCAGTGAATTCAACAGCTGACTCTTAGCAGCCACTGAAGCAGCAGCAGC